ATAACTCACGGTTCAATACAAATACACTAGATGTTTATTATGTTTATGACTCAATACGTTTTTGCATAGCTTCAATCCGAAAGTGTCAGCCCAACTCTCCGCTTGAGGACAACATGACGTTTAGTGCGGCATGCTTCTTTACTGCTTGATCAATATATCCAGAAATTTATTCGGTGGTATATCAAGCTCCAATGGTCTAATGAGAAGATGCTGGATAGATCTACCGTAAAACTAGTCCATTTGCTCGATTCAGGAATGCGAGTTCAAATCTCGTTTGGAGCACTCTGTATTCACGCTTTCCCTTTTTTATAACAAACAATTATTGAAACGACATTCAGTGCTGGTGGCACCTCTAATGTGTTAAAAACTTGGAGCAGTCGCAGATTTGAAACGATGAATTGAGCTCAACGAGACGTATCGGGTGAATAATAAATGACCGACAACCTGCAAAAAATGTGAGAGAGGATCCAGCCAACACCGACACGTCGTGGAGATGAAGATCAAATGGATGTATTTTTTCACACTATATCCTGTCACACATTGCAATTTTGAAATTGGGTTGAGTTCGGACATATAGGACGAGGAGCAGTGGCTGAAAGTTGTGGTACGAGCAAAAGTCGGTTTCTCATCTGGCACTGCATGGTCAAAGAGTATGATGACGCGTTCGATTTCTTACTCCCTTTTCTATAACGTATTTACTATTTACTCTCATTGATTATCAATCTACCCAATGTATATCCATACAACCCCAGTCCTCTAAGAGAATACACCTAATATCAGCCAAAAAGTCCTACATTCACATACTCATCCGGGATATAGTATACTCACACTGAGATACTGAACTTTTTTTTTTGGCAAGAGGAAGGCCAGAGTGTGGAACGAGAATACACCTTTTATGTAGTTGTGTTCCGATACATCTATTGTAACGAAGATACAAGCATGGTACGATTATCCTTCTGTTCTTCCTTCTGTTACAATATAATTCTACAATTACAATCAATTTTTACACAAGCGAATGTTTCAACACAACGCTACTACAGGTGATATGCATTCATTGCAAAATTATATGAGACTAACAGTTTACAAGAAAAGGTTGTGGAAGCAATTTGCACACTGATGTAGTCTAACTCAGACATATCAGTGGAAGGGATTTCAGGTCATAGGAACACCAAGATAATCGGCAAGTCTTTTGCGATTTTCTTCTGGTTGTATAAATTTATCAGCACAATCCAAATTGAGTGCCCGCAGCGCATTCTTCAAGGATGCATCTATACATGTTGAATAACTCTATATGTCAATAATAGTAAAGGTAATAGAGAAAGTGGGTGTATGTACCTTCCATTTTCATCAGCTTAGAAAAAGTCGTAGGGAAAGGAGGTTGCAGAAATCCATTAGGGCCACGAAGTGGAGTATGGAAGAAATGGCTAGCTGCTATATTATGCATTCGCATCGGCATAAGTTCCTGGCTGTAGAAGTATATCAATCATTTGGTCAACTATGTGTTCCATATGAACATACCGACTGTTGAGATTCTCAACCGTAGTGTGGAGTCCCTGCAAATCCAATTTCACTGCGTCCACGTCTCTCGATAGCTCATCTATCTTAACTAACAATCCCTCGACTTTGTTCGTCAACCCAATTATTGCCTGAAACATTTGTTCGGATTTGGTGATGAACTCAGAGCTTACAGCATTGCACGAGTCACACATATCGACAGACTGCAGAGTGGATTCTGATTGAGCTTGTGATTCCATGAAGTGAGATGCAGTGAGAAGCAGACGGATGTATAAAAGAAAGAGGAAGATATCCAAACCACACGCTCATATTTAATGCTGTTATCCAGATTTGACTCAGAGAAACAGGGCTAGAGGTGGAATGTCTGAGATGTTGTGAAGTATGTATTCTATCTACACAATCATTTCCGGCACCTTTACGTAAGCTTAATATATAGTCAGTTCCCACGGTCAAATCCCAGGGTTGGCGAACGAAAAAAATTCTACTAGTAGGATGTCGAGGTGACTTTGTTTACAAGGAGGGGAAGTTCACGACTTAGGAGTTTGAGAATTAGGTTGTGGAGTACATTCAAACAGAATTTAAAAGGTTTAGACTGTCCTCCCCGGTAGGGCTGCCGGGCCGGGCCTTTTCCTCGCTAGATATCACGTGCAGGATCATGTGACATGACCGTGTGTTAGAGACAAATTTTTTTTTGAAGTTTACGCCAATTGGCTCAGAAATGCTAAAGAGACAAGTAGAAACCGAAATCTGAAATAAAATTTTGTATCTCAGCCTTACATTTGCCTTGGAGAAAAATGTTGAACCAACGACGATGATCCTACTTAAGTGTTTAACTGCAAGTTGAGAACTCGTGCTTTGATCCTTAACATGTGTGTATCTACACACGCGTCACATCGCGCTGCTCATTCTCAGTGCTCTCCCTTTCAACAATTGATGGCCTTACTGAAGCTCAAGACACAGAAGGTGAACTCTTCTCATATGTTATTGATATAGGGACTAACTCTGGTGGCTAAGAAACTGCACTGAGCCTATGGCCAATGTCCAATTTTGATGGAATAGGTAGATGGTTTAGAGGATGATGACAACTGGTTTCTTCCTACATATGAAGAAGAGGGCGACTTGGATGAGGATAATGGCTCAGGTGAGTGATTATATGCGCTATTAAATTCCACTCACTTCATCCTCTGGGAGCAACATTGGGGCAACGTATACTCCGCAAGAGATGTTTCTACTGTCAAGATCTTGCAGATTTTTTTCTGATGTGCCTTTCGATTACACGCTTAATATCCATTACTGAAGATACACACTCGACAGATTTTATTAAGAGCACATTAGCCTAATAGGTTATTAGTTTATCAATATATCAAGACATTTACTGTATGGTATATCAAGCTTCTATGGTCTAAAGTGAAGACACTGGGTAGATCTGCAAGAGTGAAAGAACTGTATAGTAGATCAGAAATGTGAGTTCAAATCTCACTGGGAGCATTTTATAGTATGATGAATACCTTTTTGATGTCCGTATCAACACGTTGATAGTTGATTATCCAACCCTAAACATATTTGACAGCTTTATCAAGAACACACTTCGCTCTTTCCAGTGCATAACGGCAATGCTCCTGAAGCCTTTATTCCTACATCTCTGCCCAAAAATGCGAGTTAAAATATTCATATTTTATATCTACATACCTACAAATGACTCCCTTGGTCCAATATGCAGACACTGTATAACCGTGAAGGAGAACGATAATGGACGATATGCCCTATACAAAAGTATGAGTTCGATTCTTACAGGGAGCTTTGCAGATGCCAACAGTATTGACTTTTAATTCTATGTGATTATGCACATTCATGTGACATTACTCAGATTTGATGATTTTTCGAGTGGGAGTCAAGAAAAATAGTTATATGGCTCATACAATGGCGGAACCCCTCTGGATAAAAATAAAACTTGCATTTTCAAGCTGCTTTGTAATAGACAAATTCCAGTGGGTGCCTGATTGGTAGCTGGTGTATTCCATTATACAGCCGGAGTGTCATATCTTGTCTCTTAAATAATTGAATGTGTTGGTAGTAGAAAGAGCAAGCATTAAAACTTTAATGGCTCAATGGAAAAATCAATCACTAAGCACTTCGATCATATCACTCGGCGAGATTTGAACTCGCATTATCAACGAAGAGGGCCCCAAATTCATTTATTTGTCCATTGTAGATGTGCTCCATTGTACGACAAAGAGGTTCTGTATACTGTCTAAGCTGATGCTTTTCTATTACTTGGCCCAGGTCAGCTACACGTGACGATTGTGCGGTGGACAAGCAGCCGAACCGGATGATGTCATTGCTATTCTTCCTCGTCAATACCAAATATCTGCACCGCCGCATTATGATTCAATTTTGTTTCTTCTCCTGCGCAGCCATCTAGATCTGCGTCATCGAACTACGTAGCCAAATGATGTCATCTCCACTCAAGTCGTCGATGGAGCACACGACGGCATTTTCACTCAAAAAAAGTATTTAAAGGATGTTTATAGAAGCGATTCAGACCACTATCACACTCACTCACTCAAACGAACTTGCAAAGCAAACCCTACCACTTTTAATGAACTCCTATATTCATAGTGTTTTCATTCAACAGCTCTAACAAGAATCCCAATCCCATCAGTATTCAGCAGCAGCCAGCAGGCGAATGGGCCTCACAGACAATTGACGCACTCAGTGATCAGAAATTTGCATGGGCAAGTGAATTTGTCCAGTAACTTTGTTAACCACCACATAACAAAGCTCCTATAGCCCAATGCATAAGACGCTGGGTAAATTTCGAAGTAACATGATGCATCCCTCATCATCCAGAAATGCGAGTTCAGATCTCACTGGGAGCATAAGAGAGACTTACCGGTATATGAATTTCTGAATTCTGATGTAGCCTTAATACTTGATTGACATATCGGGACGTTAATTCGATGATGTATCATGCTCCTATGGTCCAATGCGAAAATACTGGATAGATCTCAAAGAGAATCCACTCTTCATGATCCAGAAATGTGAGTTCAAATCTCACTGGGAGCAGTTGAAGTTCAGAGATATCAATACCGTTTCTTTTTGCTCTGCACTTCAATACTTTACTAGCACATCATGAAATTCATTCCGTGAGATATCAAGCTCCCATAGTCTAATGTGAAGACACCAGATAGATCTCGAACCTTGCCCAGGGTTCATAATCCAGAAATGTGAGTTCAAATCTCACTGGGAGGTCTCATTTAACAGGATTCAATGCTTTTTTAATATTTGGTCAATACACCAAGACATTTATTCCATAACACATCAAGTTCTTTTGTCTAAGGCAAGATCTGAGAGAACCCATTTTCATGATCCAGAATTGTGAGTTCAAATCTCATTGGGAGCATTAGCCGGTATGAATTTTGAATTTTGATGCGCCCTTCAATACTTGATCATCGTATTAGGATATTAATTCGGTGATATATCAAGCTCCTATGGTCTAATGCAAGGACGCTGGATGGATATAAGTGGCAAATTACTAAATATCGATCTCATAATCCAGAAATGTGAGTTCAAATCTTACTGGGAGCAATTTGCTCAGGCAATGGTTGTTTTTGGTACGCCCTTCAATACTTGATCAGTATATCATGTCATTAGTTCAATGATGTATCAAACTCCTATGGTCTAATGCGAAGACGATGGATAGATCTCGAAAATCACCCATTCTTCATGATCCAGAAATGCGAGTTCGAATCTCACTGGGAGCACTTACTGTACAAGGTGTGCGTTTTTGAAGCACCTTTCAATAATTTAATTGAGATATCAATACATTTATTTATTCCACAATATATCATGCTCCTATAGTCTAATGCGAAGACGCTGGATATATATCTCAGGCTGAGAAATAACAAACTCTTCATGATCCAGCAATATGAGTTCAAATCTCACTGGGAGTACTATGGTGACGATGTTGCAAATTTCTTCTTGATGCATCTTTCAATTACACGGCGATTATACATTACTGAACATGTACTTACTTGACTGATTTTATTAATAACACATTAGCCTGTTAGGTTTATACTTCATCAATATATCAAGACGTTTATGCGATGGTATGTGAAGCTCCTATGGTCTAAGGTGAAGACATTGGGTGGATGTGAATCTCTGAGCAACTCCTGATCCAGAAACGTGAGTTCAAATCTCACTGGGAGCATTTTATAGTATGATGAATACCTTTTTGATGTCCGTATCAACACGTTGATAGTTGATTATCCAACCCTAAACATATTTGACAGCTTTATCAAGAACACACTTCGCTCTTTCCAGTGCATAACGGCAATGCTCCTGAAGCCTTTATTCCTACATCTCTGCCCAAAAATGCGAGTTAAAATATTCATATTTTATATCTACATACCTACAAATGACTCCCTTGGTCCAATATGCAGACACTGTATAACCGTGAAGGAGAACGATAATGGACGATATGCCCTATACAAAAGTATGAGTTCGATTCTTACAGGGAGCTTTGCAGATGCCAACAGTATTGACTTTTAATTCTATGTGATTATGCACATTCATGTGACATTACTCAGATTTGATGATTTTTCGAGTGGGAGTCAAGAAAAATAGTTATATGGCTCATACAATGGCGGAACCCCTCTGGATAAAAATAAAACTTGCATTTTCAAGCTGCTTTGTAATAGACAAATTCCAGTGGGTGCCTGATTGGTAGCTGGTGTATTCCATTATACAGCCGGAGTGTCATATCTTGTCTCTTAAATAATTGAATGTGTTGGTAGTAGAAAGAGCAACGATTAAAAATTTAGACAGATCAATCACTAAGCACTTCGATGTCACTCCGGCGAGATTTGAACTCGCATTATCAACGAAGAGGGCCCCAAATTCATTTATTTGTCCATTGTAGATGTGCTCCATTGTACGACAAAGAGGTTCTGTATACTGTCTAAGCTGATGCTTTTCTATTACTTGGCCCAGGTCAGCTACACGTGACGATTGTGCGGTGGACAAGCAGCCGAACCGGATGATGTCATTGCTATTCTTCCTCGTCAATACCAAATATCTGCACCGCCGCATTATGATTCAATTTTGTTTCTTCTCCTGCGCAGCCATCTAGATCTGCGTCATCGAACTACGTAGCCAAATGATGTCATCTCCACTCAAGTCGTCGATGGAGCACACGACGGCATTTTCACTCAAAAAAAGTATTTAAAGGATGTTTATAGAAGCGATTCAGACCACTATCACACCCGCTCACTCAAACGAACTTGAACGAAAACTCTACCACTTTTAACGAACTCTTATATTCACAATGTCTTCCTTCAACAATTCCAGCGAGACCGGACTTCCAAAGCCCACCAGTCTCCAGCAGCAGCCAGCAGGCGAATGGGCCTCTCAGACAATCGACGCGCTCGGTGATCACAAGACCACTTCGACCCTTCCTTCGTCGGGCTATCCTTCTACCACAACCCACAACGCACCTCTCGCCTCGACGCATCCCACCAACCAACAGTCACCTCTCTCCTCCAATGCCCCCACGACCTCTACCACCCACCAAGAACCTCTCTCCTCCCAGATCTCCTCCTCCATCTCCAACTCGGTGCATCCCAACACCAAGGTTGCAGCAGACAGCGCCAACCCCCTTGGATCCACCCCCTTCGTCACCGAGCACCCCAACCCCGAATTCGCCAACCCCCGTGACGTAGGAGCCGACATTGCCACTGCTGCCAACGCAGTAAAGAACGCTGTTGGAGCAGCTGCTGGGATGATTCGTGAGTTTCTCTGCCTTGCTCTTTGTATTTACTCGTTATTTACCCTTTCTTTCTCTTTAGCCACGAGCACTGAGGATATCAAAAACGCCGCCAACGCGGCTGGCAGCACCACCGTCAACGTCGCCTCGAATGCGGCAGCCGTCGTCGGATCCACTGCCCAGCAAGCAGCATCGACCATCGGAGCTACCGCCCAGCAGGCTGCCTCTACCATCGGTGCCCACGCCTCGCAAGCAGGTAGTGCCGCTTCGAACACCGCTCAGCAGGCTGCCTCCACCATCGGTGGTACCGCTTCTCAAGCGGGTAATGTCGCTTCGAACACCGCAGGCAATGCTGCCTCCACCGCACGCGGCACTGCTGGTGAAGCCGGCAACGTCGCTGGGTCATACGCTGCGTCTGCTGGAAATGTAGCCTCGAACGTGGCTGCTACTGCTGGTAATGTTGCGTCGAACGCTGCAGCCACCCTTGGCGCATATGTTCCCGAGTCTGTAAAGAGCTACCTTCGTACGTCTCCCTCATTATCTCTTTCCTTACATTGTTACTAACCTCTCCTCTATCTCCCAGCCGGAACCACCACCAACAACACCACCTCCCTCCCCACCACCGAGACCTCATCCAACACCCACCCTTATACCGTAGGAGGTGTAGGCACCCTCCCGGGATCCAATGACGAGTCGGGCGTCGCTAAGCTCCCTGAGGAGCGCCATTCCACCACCTCCCACACCGGATCACATACTGGTGGTGTTGGAGATTTGCCCGGATCGAACTCTGAGGCGAGTGTAGCTAAGCTTCCCGAGGAGAGGAATCTGGAGTCTTGTACGTTTCTTCATTCAGTCTCCATGCAGACTTTACTGATTCTGATTGAACCTTTCCTCAGCAGCGCATACTACCACCTCATCATCGACACACGGCTCCACCCTCCCCGCGACCAACCCTTTCTCTGATATTCACGCATCACAGGGATCGGCGTTCGGTGATGCCAAGGCCTTCGGCGGCAACACCTCCACGACCTTTGGCGACTCGAAGCCCCCGACTGCCTTTGGCGACGCCACCGACATCAAACCCGCTCCTGGCCCAGGATCGGCGCAGACGAGCTCGACGCTCGTGGCGAATGCCGCGCTGCTGGACGCTGCTGCTGATAAGAGCCGGTCGTTTAATTGAGCTGGGAGAGTAAATCGTCTAGATGGAGGCATAACTATGGGCGATAGGAATTAGGAAGAATGAATAATGTATTGTACAAGTAGTATTTTTATTATTGCATTGCATTCTAGCTCAGCTTGGGATTAGATTTAGTGATGAGCTCTAGATTCTTAAGACAGATGCAGATCATATATGAGAACCGGTCTGGCAGCGACAGTGTGCGGTTCGATGAGATCATTGTATACAACATTATGTCAATGAAATGTGAAGAAACAACTAACTTGGTACGAGATCATGCATATACTCGTGCCTGAAATAAGTGACCGGACACACGTGACTGATTGCGTCGCGTCTGGTAGTATTCAAACGTCAATCGCACACTATTTTTCGCCAAAAAATCGCGAATCAATATCAAATAGCTTATATCTACATAATACAACTTAATTTACATCATTAGCTGCAGTGGTGATGTTGTAGTGTTCTGATTTTTGTATGCAATCAGTCACGTGTGCCCGGTTACTTATTTCAGGCACGAGTAAAGAACGCTGCACCGTTAATTTCCATCCAGCGACGCCATGATGTCCTTTGAACGAGGAATAAACCGACACGGGAACGGTTTCACATGACTGTGAACCGATAATCAGCATCTTTGTTATGCCATAACCACATAGAACATATTCTTACGATACAACTCCGCTGGTCCAATCAACAGGTGGTTCGATTTCCTGCTGGTTGGCGTCTAGAGCCTTCGCAATGGTGAAAGTAGCCAGAATGCTTGCGATATTGAAGAGTAGAGATATTTGTGCAAAGTGAGAACCTGATAAACCGAGCAGGTTTACGGTCAGTAGAACTCTAGGCGCGATAGTTATTACATACCTGGACAAACGCGTCGCCCAAATCCGAAGACGAACTTGAACGGATCAATCTGGGGCGTCTCTCCAAGATGGCGCTCAGGATTGAAGGTAAACGGGTCGGGGTACAATTCATCGTCGTGAGCAATGGCCCTGTGAATATGAATACATTCTTGTGAGCCCTTCGTCGCCTTTCAGAGAGATAAAAGTCTGACCAAATATTTCCCACCACTCTCGATCCTTTCGGAATAGTGAATCCGTTATAACTATCGTCCCTGGTCACACTGTGGACTAGGCCTATAATAAAACTTAAACGAGAATTCTGTAGATAAAGTTGTCGAACCCACCAAGAGGAGCAACTGGAGCCCAGCGAATGATTTCCTTTATCATCGCTGTGATATATGGCATCGCTGCTAGATCGTCAAATGTTGGGAGTCGACCAGAAGTCAGTGCATCTACTTCTGCTTGGGCTTGTTTTTGGACTTCTGGGTAGAGTGTCATGAGAAGAACGAATGTAGTAAGTGCAGAAACCGTCTACAACGAATCTGAGTCTGATAGTAATACGTCAGGGAGTAGAAGGACTTACGGTGTCTGCTCCTCCTACATAAAGGGCTGCACTAGATGTTACAACTATCCCTTCTTCGTCGGCCTCAAGATTTTTGCCGGAGTTTGATCCTAAATGCATTGAGACAAAAGATTCTTCGTTCGTCCCGTTTATCTATTGGGAAACGTGAGCGCGATATATCTTACAAGAAATAAAGAACGCACCATCTGAGTTTTGGCCCAATCAAACGGCACCTGCTTTACAGAGCGACTCATTTTCCTAACTTCCTCTGCTTTGCGTCTGGCACCGGCACCTGGAAACCATTTGGGTGCGTATTTCACTGATCATAAAAATCATTTAGTAATGTCTTTTATTGATGAGCGGTATTGAAGGCTTGCAGATGGGGAACATTACGACGTAAAATTCTTCTAGCATTGAAATTCTATCCTCAAGAGCAAATGCGTTTTCTATCATTTTTACCCATTTATCATTGTCTGTTTCGACTTGGTAGCCATATGCGACTTTCAAGATCATTGCACCTGCAGTCCTGAAAGTTTTTATTAGCAGACCAGCCACTACAGAACAGTTAAATGTTACCACCTTCGAATGTGAGCAATAAACTTGTCTGGATTGAATGCCAAGTTCTTTAATAGAACTCGAGTTTCTGCAAGCTGAATGGGACGATACGTTTGTGTTGCTTGGGGGTTTAATCCACTGTGAAGCATTTTCCTGAGTGGTTTGAACCGTGGATCCAGAGAAGATGTCATGAACATCGATGTCGTGGGTCTATCTAGCTCTTCCATCATCATTGCTGGTGGCCGATCAGAGTAAATGGCAGAACGACTTTGCAGTAGGTCAGACACCGCTTCTAAAGAGCTCAAGACGATCATCT